GAGAGAAGGATGCTCGCCTCCAGTCAGGTCTAGCAGCGGGAGGTGTCTCGCGAGGGAATCCATCGCAGCGGAAGTTGCGATGCGGGCTTCGGCACCTTGTTGAGCTTGGACGTAATGACGGCCGGCAAGAGAGTGCGGGAGGGGTTCGCATTGTAGGCTCGGTGCAGCCCGGCGGCAGGTCCGAGGCACCCGCCGGATGGAGTGGAGGTAGTAGGAGAGAGCTGCTCGACGCGGGGAGAAGGAGGGTACTGAACACAGCGGAGAGAGTCGGTGAGAGAAGATGAAGCGGGACGAGGAGAGGAGGAGAGCGAATTTGAGAGAGAGATGAGGAGAGAGTATGGACCCAGAGAGACGAGGCGGACGAGATCCAGCCGGCGTGAGCCCGGGTGTGCATCAGGAGGAGTGAGAAGCACGACTCGCAGATGACGGTTACGCAGAGTGAGAGATGAGGAAGACGAGCATGGACGAGGAGAGATTGAGGACGAGACGAAACGAGAGAGAGAGAGAGGTAGGTTCCGGAGAGAAGAGGAGGAAGAGAGAGGAGAGGGGAAGAGAGCGAGAGAATTCGCTCGGGCGCTCGTGCTGAGAGAGAGAGAGAGAGAGAGTGAGAGCCGAGAGGAGAGCGATAGATAGATGAGAGAGAAGCGAGAGAGAGGGAGGAGATCGAGAGAGAGAGAGAGAGAGAGAGGAAAAGAGAAGAGAGACGAGAGAAAAGAGAGAGGGAGACCGGAAGAGAGAAGATGAGAGAGAGAGAGAGAGATCGAGAGGAGAGAGAGAAAGAGGGAAAGAGAGGAGGGAGAGAGGTGACTGAGAGTTGAGAGGCAGGGGAACGAAAAGCTGGAGAGACAGTCGACAGTGAGAGACGGGGTTAGGACGGGGCTTGGATATTGTTGTGATTGTAACTTGTGGGGTGGGTTGGGATTTAGATGTGAATAAAAATGTAGATTTCGTTGTAGGGTTTTTTTGTTTTGAAAGTATAGATATTTATAGGAATTTAAGCAGAGGGTATTGGAGTTTTATAGGAGCTGTCAGTAGAAAATATCAGCTTTACAGAAATTTAATCACAAAATACGAAAGATTTACAGTCGTTAAGTAGAAAATATCAGAGTTATGTTGGAATTTAAGGGCAAAATCTGACAGATTAACAGGATTTATTTATGAACAGTTAATAGGGGATTTATACAGATATAATATTAATAATATATGTGATTAATATCTATAAAATAATTAAATATAAATTAATAATTAATAAAAATAAATAAAGATTAATATAATATATATTGATTAATATATATATTATTATTATTATTATTATACAGATATAAGTACAATATATAGGAGTTATACACACAAAGGTCATTTACATTATAAGACATTTTGACATGTAAAACAGTTTTGCTTCTAACGGTAATAGCCTCAATAAAGTTTTTCTCCTGGAATGCTGCTCGCGCAAACTGCGAATAATCATTGTTGTCATTTTATACCACACTTTCTAGAGAATTAATGATTTAATTAAACCTGCATGAATAAAATACCTGCACAGCGACGTGGATCTAATAACTAAATCAAACTTCACAAATCAACTAAGCTACGGAATAAAGGGTAACACTTGAAGGAAACCGAGTAGAAATTGTAATGGTATACGAGAAAAAGGCAAGCGCGTGAAACAACAGTAATGCGGATTTAACCGGAAAACGGCAGCAACTACATTACGCAACCTCAGTCGCCGACGTATAGCGCCGTGTATTTTCTCCAAAACCAGAATCAATGCGACAATTAATCTCTGCACTCACTTCAGGCCAGCTAGAATCTCGACGGCAGCATTGAAGTTGCCGATGCTCCAGCAGGTGGTGGCAACGCGCAGGATGCAGGAGAGAACAGCCTTGCGATCCTCGTGCTTCGGCTGAGAGATGATGATGTGTGTGATCCACGAACTGACCTGTACGAACCATACATTCATACAAAATGTACAGCATATATAAAGTATATATACAGTATATATACATTATATATATATATATATATATATATATATATATATTAAAAAATATAAGCAGTAGACAAAATTTTGACACAAATGAAAGCATATTAGTCTAGAATACAGATGAAAAAAACGACTTGCCTATAGAGTTAGTGCATGTGTCATAACATATATGTGAAACGGGTCTATGATTTGAGAATCTTTTATGCTAATTGAAAATGTCTTGCTTAAGAATCGTGCTGGAATTAACAGAAGTGCATTTGTGCAGAAAAATAAACGGGTGTGGTTCAAGATCTTCCCAATGATAGAGGTTTCCTAACTTCTGTACCTATACATATATGCTGGGTTACTATAGCACACGTGTTGCCATATTTTATATACATGTAAATTCCCACTGTGTCATTCGTGGCCTGAGTGCGTTATATGATCGACCCCCCACCGTGAATGTCAGACAACCCTAGGAAACTGAATCCAAAATGTAAGAAAGCCAACTGACGATGGCGCCAGTAGTACATGACTCACATTACATCCCGACTTTTCGCATGTTGCGTAAAATGATGACTAAAAATGTCTTCTAAACCAGCTCTAATATGACATGACAACTTCATGCAGTCTATCAGAAACCGATAACTGCCTATGATATCAGGTACACACACGCATTAATGGGCTTTATGTGACATATATGTGATATAATGACATTATGGGTAAAGTTACTGCACTTTATAATCACCAAGATGTTTACGAAATAAAGCCCAACTAGGAAGCAAAATTAGTACAATCAGCCAACTTTACCACGCTCGGCTACATTCCGCGCTCGGTGCCTGGGCGTACCTCAATGAATCGCTTTATCAAATCCTGGACCGTCTTCTGAGAATCGTCTGCCCGCAGCTGTGACAGATCACACGTGACCTGCCGCACGTAGCACAGTGGCGACACCTTGCGGAAGAGCGTGTACTCGGTTTCCGTTAGCAACAGGGCCACTTCTTCGGGAAAGTGCAGCATCTTCTGCAGGCTCTCCAGTTCTTTCGAGTAGACGCTGCCTTGATCGGAAGCTGGCCTCAACGCAAGCTGGCGCTTATTGATCTCTGCACAACCCGAAAAAACAACGACTTCACCACCTAACCATGCAAACACATCCACTCGACAAAAGCCAATTACTCCCTTCAACTCTCTGCGCAACAGGGTAGCCAGTGTTTATTAGCTCAGTTATACATGCAGCCGGCAGACTGCTTCTAATATGCTGTGATCTTTCTCATTTCTCAGACCACTTGCAGTTTTCACTGCAGCATTTACTTAAAAAAAGCATGGCATTATATAATTGCTGTTCGTTTACAGCTTATTATTATTATTTATGGCTTATGTCACGTAATGGTGAATAATTCTCTTCATGTATACATACAACTCTATAACACATGGCACAGATGATGAAAATATATGGCAGTACCTCTGCAGATATTAAATGTTTTAGTATGCTCACCATAACTGAAAATATGCTATATAATTTCATTTCCATCTTAATATACTATCTGATCTTTATGTACCCTGACTGGCTTCCTTACCCTGTGCTAACCGACTGGCTTCCTTACCCTGTGCTAACCGACTGCCTTCCTTACTCTGTGCTAACAGATCTTCACCCTTA